CCTCCCGCCTCCTCCCACCTAAAGGCGCCTCACGCTCTCGTCAATTGTGAAGAGGCTCCTATTCCTTCTGAGACACAATATCTTTGCAGAAGAAAGGGGACCCAACTTCAAATATTAATGACGGCGCTCTGAAAAGGTTATGGTGGCGGGGAGGAGCGCGTGAGGTTAACGTGTTTTAGAGGCCAGGAAATGTCAGCGTTGTGGGGAAAGCGGAGGGCCAGATGACTTGTACGAAAGGAAGGACAAACGATAAACACTGGACTGCAGTGTCCTTGGGTGTCTTTCCTCAGGAGACCTATAACATGTGACACTGTAAACACCTACAAGACAGGAGTTAGTAATGTTGGCTTTGGACAAATGTTTATCGAAGATGTAAAGTATTTTTGGTCAAGGTAACCATTTCCTTTGGTGTAGAATTTGACGTATTAAAAGGTTTGTGGACCAGCGTTAGTAAGAAAATTAAATTGAACTTAATTCACTAGCTGGGCTGCATAATACCAGAAAAACATGCAATTGTGATCTTGTTGAAATGTGATATTGTGCTAACAGTATTGGTTGCAATAAATCCACATTTTCTCCACTTCTGCTCTTTTGTTTTGCCATCACGACAATCAACCACAAATCATCTAAATAATCATCAAGAACAGTGAGGATCTATGGCCCTGGTCATATCTGGCATTATATATCAGTATTGGATAATTCAGTTGCAAGTGATCAGCTCTGACAGAGCATTCACGCCTGTCAGGTAAATGCTAATCTAAGACGTCTTTGTGATCGGATGTCAATTCACCATTCTGTGTGTGGACAAAACAGGTCCAGACCAGACCACACACACCCCACCCCAACCCTCCCAAAGGTATTTTAAGGAAAAATGTTTTCAATGCACATTATTGAGGTCGTACCAACTGTATTTGGTTCAATCCAAATGCAAGTTAATAGATGGGGACAATTTGAGCGCCTGGTGTAAAATGGGTCAGTATGATTATCCAAATATAATCTGAATGAATGGTAAGCAGTCCTTGATGATGTTGAGATAAACGGTATATGGACTGTACTTATATAGCACTAGGACTGGACAATAATTCGATATTGATATATATCACAATATACTTTTATTCAATAATGGTAATATGAGTTTAAAGCACATTTTTGATATTTCGATATGATTACAGCGTTTCACTGATGCATTTCTTTATCTGTTCAGATTGAAGCGGACGCTTCAGTTTCAACCAGAGCATAAAAAGCCGCGACACAACTACGTAAGTGAGTAGTGACGTAGAAGTTACCGAGAGTTCGAGTCCAGGCGGCGTTAGCGGTAGCAGGCTAGGCTAATCCCCACTCACGGCAAGTTTTCGCTTCAAAGTGAGTGCCCATGACCGTCAGAATGTGACTGAACAAGCTTTCGCAAGCGAAGAGAAAGCAGATGACATCATTGACAAGAGGAAAGACTAGATCAGCCGTGTGGAAGTGGTTCGGCTATCTAAGATCGGATAAACTGCAGGTTTCAGTGAGCTGCAAAATGTGACGGAGAGTCAATCCAACTAGCGGTGGGAACACATTGAACCTGTTCCACCATCGGAAGAATTTCCACTCAATAGAAGATGCTGAGAGTCACAAGATGAAGCACAATAAAAGTCTGAGCCAACATGTCCCTGAAACAGCACACCCAGATGTATCTAAAGAGAAACCCATGCAGCAAACACAGATGTTTACATATGTGTTTACATGTTTACATATACATATATTTGTTTGCTTGTTCTTTGGTCACAGATATTACAAGCAACATTTCTTATAAATATAATGACAACTGTTTGTTGTGGTGTTGTGTGGCATAAGACTATTCATGACATCTAACATAATTACAGACACTTGAACAGCAGGCCAGAGGTTATTTGAGGTCACGCGTTTGTGTTTTACGCAGTGAGCTGGTATAATTATTAAGACACAACTGTTATTTACAGGATGTACAGTGCATTAAGACAATGTGAAACAATATAAAAAAAACAACAAAAATAAAATTCAAACAGACTTTTCTGGCTGTGTGTCTGCAGGTATATTGGAGCCCTGGGTGCTCGGGTGATTTGTGACAACATTCCCGGTTTGGTGAATAAGCAGCGGCAGCTCTGCCAGCGACACCCGGACCTGATGCAGTCCATCAGCGAGGGAGCCGAAGAGTGGATCAAGGAGTGCCAGCACCAGTTCAGACACCATCGCTGGAACTGCAGCACGCTGGACCGAGACCACACTGTGTTTGGCAGGGTGATGCTGCGAAGTGAGTCTGCGTATGCACGGCTGGGACTTCTATCTGTGCGGCAGTTGTTTATGCCTGTGACACTTGAGTTAATCATCCTCGTAAATGTCTCCCCTGTTACCAGATAAGCTCAGGATAAATAGGTGTTGTATTAAATCAACTTTACTGCAGAATGCAAACAGATAGAGAAAGTGATGTGGATTATTTTAGCTTCTCTGGAACGAAGGACGATTGGGAAAGTGGCAGTTCTCTGAAAACAAGTAGCAGATTGAGGGATCCACACTGGTGGTGTATAAACAGCAAAAGGAGATGTAAATATTTGGGTAGATGTTTCTGGCAGCCAGACAAAGCTTCACTCCCTGACATATTGTCTTCGCTCTGCCTCATTGCGTGAGCAGGAATGAGAACAGGAGGAAGGTGGAGAAGCCAGACCAAATAACCTCAGAAAACTTCTTGTCTGAAATGAAAACACTTAGAGCGCTGCCATCTGTGCAAATTAAAAAAAAAGGTGAAAGGAGATTTGTTTGGTCTGTGATGTTATAGCTGACATGCTGCTATCTCCACCTCAGTCTACCATAAATGGATTGATAATAGCATCCTTTAGCCTAGAATGAACTGAGGTAAGGACATTTTATTCAGCACAGTGTACTGGGGTACTAAATAATCCAGTTTGAACGGTAACAAAAGAAGAACAGAAGCATTGTACTTTGTAGTTGAGTAGGGGTTGAACGACGACATGATTTTTAAACTCGACATTAACATAATAAAACTCGAGTACAACTCGAGTACTTGATGACATCATAGGATCTAAAGATACAAAAATAAATAAATAAATAAAACCGCAAAAAAGGTTATTATTTACAAAAATGACCAACAAAACATTGGGAGAGTATATTATGCTCCTACCATTTATCATACTGCAAATAAGTCACAGGAAAAACTAAACTATTAGTTATTATTGTTAAGCTTCAAAAGTGAAAGAAACGTGCGGCACGTCATAAACGAAACAAAAAACAGTGGGGCGGACGACCACCCCGCACCACCGCCAGCTGTGGTGCGCATTATGTTTAGTTTTAGAGATTAATATGTTTATATGTTTTTTATAGGATTAGAGATTAATATTTTTTGCTTTTTGTTTGTGAAACAAGGTCAGAGGAAGCTGGTTCTGGTTCGGTCATTGGACCCGGTGTCACATCATATTCTGTGACCTGCAATAGTGCATGCAACACCGCCCCCTACGGTCACAATATACGGTGGTCACAGAATATGGTGTAACACCGGTTCACAACAAGCTCCAAACAGTCAGGAAGTTGATTAATTTTCTGTTTCGTTACGGTAGTTGAACCGTAAGATTCATCTTTAGTGAAATATTTTCATACTATTGATGTATTTCTACATGTTTGCCAAGACTGGGCCTACTCCGCTCCATCTGTCTGCTTGGAGGAATCTATTTTGTAACCTGCGCCCGGTGCAGATCATGTGACACGTGACGCAATGACGGAATGGCGCCGTAATGACATCACCACGAATACTCGACGTGAAATTAAAAAACTCGATATATGTCCTAGGAATCGATGTGTAGATTACTCAAGTAGGCTGTTAAAGCCCTATTAAGTTGAGTACTAAAAACATTACAAGCCTATCATTTAAAAGCAGTAGTGTCTGCTTTAATGGTAACATACTTGTCCTCACAGGCAGCAGAGAAGCAGCATTTGTCTACGCCATCTCCTCAGCTGGAGTAGTCTACGCCATCACCAGAGCCTGTAGTCAGGGGGACCTGAAGATCTGCAACTGCGACAGCCACAAACGTGGGCAAGCAAGTGATGACAAGGGCGTCTTTGACTGGGGTGGCTGCAGTGACAACGTTAACTATGGCATCAAGTTTGCCAAGGCCTTTGTCGACGCTCGAGAGAGGATGGTGAAAGACGCTCGAGCACTGATGAACCTGCACAACAACCGATGTGGTCGAATGGTGAGCAGCAGAACATTTTCTATCAGTACTTTTATGTTTTTTTTAAAAATATGTGGATCAAACTCAAGTTGTTATCATGTACAGTATACTCTACTGCAAGAAGAAGGTAGTGTTTCTTGTGGGAAAATGGATGTTTCAGAGCTTAAAATAGTTAAATGTAGCCTCGCAAAATAAAAAGTCTTTCGCGGCTGCGACTCGGCTCTAAAATTCGACATAAAGTTTTCCATCTGTTAACATTTGAAACCTAAAGCTTAGCATTATCATATGCTTCAGGTTACTAGCTGCAGCTCAACTACAGCAGGGTTTTTACAAGCTTCAGCAGGCCTCGTTAATATTTCTGAAACAGTTTGCAGAATCAAGCAGGCGTGCCAGTTCTTACCAGGGCTGGAAGCTATTAAACCTTTATTTAACCAGATAAAACCCCATTGAGATCAAGACCTCTTTCACAAGGGTGACCTCGCCAAGAACAGGCACTAGCACACGTCATAAAAAAAACAAAACAAGTAACAAGATTAGAATAAGACTTCAGAAATATATTAAAAATATATAAAACATACAGTATGACAGTAAATGGCAATAATTGTAATAAATAATAATTTCAAACAATGACAATTTAAGATCTAAAACACACGAATTGCAAATACTTACGTTACTATAATTAAGTAGATTTTTTTGGTACTTGTATTTTTATAGGTATTTCTTTCAATTGTGTAATTTTACTCATACTTAAGTACAATTTAGACCATGTACTCTACATCACTACTTTTCAAATCAGAAGTCGCTACTGAGTACGGCCGCAAGTTGAATTGATATTCTAACTGCATCTTTGTAGCCAATAAGGCTCTCAGATCGCAAATGCACCAATTACCTATGACGTAAGCAAAGGAGAACTCTGTAGAGTAGAGAGTCATTTATGGACCGAAGATTAGGAGAAAAAGCCAAAGTGGAGACAGAAGACAACACTGTCAGAGAAAATGATGAGGTAAAGGCTGAGGACGAGTGCACGTGGCCGTACCTGAAGGAAATTTTCATGTACAGAGGGTGAAAAGGAGACAACATCCAGATGCAAACTTTATTTAATCTCTACAGTGATAGCAGCTTACAAGACTTCAGCATCTAATCTCAGAAAACATATTGCAGTATACGAGGTTTACAGCTACCTGTATGATTTGCTTATTTTATTGTTTGTATGTGGATTATTAGTTTGGCTAAGTATCAAAGGTCTTAGATATTGTCACTGCCATCAGTATACTAAAATAGGGCGGAGCTATGAGCGTCTGAGAAATGTACTTTGAATGTAGCTGTTATAGACAATAAATCAAACTTAATGCCTTCTAATGACAACACAATAAAACATCAACTGGTTAAAAAGTAATTAATATTCTGAGTAGTTTTTGAGAAGAGTACTTTGTACTTTTACTTAAGCATTTTTATAAGACCAGTACTTTTACTTGTGACTGAGTACAATTTAAGCAATGTAACAGTACTTGTACTTGAGTACAAATTTTCAGTACTCTTTCCACCTCTGTTTCTTATTTAGACAAGGAAGGTAAATGACAGTAAAACATCCACCTGGTGGCACAACATGGCATACAGCAAACCTGTTCTAAGGTTTCAGCTTTTGAATTAACTGTTCGTTGCTTTTTAAGTGACTCATATAATCAAACTAATCAAGGGATAAACAAGCAATCACATCCACATATTTTTTAAATAAACTGTGCAACAGTTGAAATAAATAAAAAAAACAGAGGTATAAAAATCATTAAATTATCTAACAAGGTTAAGTCAGTACTCCGGTTTCCTCCCACAGACCAAAAACATGCATGTTAGGCTGATTGGTAACTCTAAATTGTCCCTAGGTGTGAGCGAGAGAGTGGATGGTTGTTTGTCTCGTTTGTCTCTTATGTGTCCTTGTTATGGACTTGCAACCTGTCCAGGGTGTACCCCGCCCCTCGCACAGTGATTGCTGGACATGGGCACCAACGACCCCCGTGACCCAAAATGGAATAAGCGGGTAAAGATAATGGATGGATGGATGGTTATTGAGCATGAATCAGGATACATGAACTAATTAGCATATCTTTACATTTAGGAGCTCATTTTTTTAAATTTTCAAATAATTATGGTGACTCTGACTGTCCTTTTGTAAAAACTCACAGTTTTTAATACAGATTGATACAAAAACCACAATAGAAGAATTTTAATTGTGCTGCCAATGATGAGAAGTGTCTGACTTTCTTGTAGTGAATCAAGTCCAAACCAGATCTTACTAAAGACAACAACAAAACTAGCAGACAGTAGAACACAATATGTGTTGCTTGTTTTCGTTTAGCTCCTGGGCTGTCTTAACTAGTCTCAGATTTAACCTGATGTCTTATCAAAGTGAAGAATATTTGCACAGCAACTCTGTATAGCAAGCCTGATTTGCACCTACATCACGCTATAGGCAACACCTTAGGTTTAACACCCTGTCACCTCTGACCTCTGCTCTAGGCAGTGAAGCGCTTTATGAAGCTGGAGTGCAAGTGTCACGGGGTCAGTGGTTCCTGCTCTCTGAGAACCTGTTGGCTGGCTATGTCTGACTTCAGGAGAACTGGGGACTATCTTTGCAAGAAGTACAACACAGCCGTCGAAGTGACTATGAACCAGGACGGGACCGGATTTACAGTGGCTGACATGGATTTTAAGGGAACCACAAAAAATGAATTAGTGTACGTGGAGAACTCCCCAGATTATTGTGTCCTGGACCGAACAGCAGGTGAGTACGATATTTACCTTTTTACAGCAGAATTAAGAAGGATTCAGAAAACCCTTCAATGGCATCTCAGTGCTTTTTTTTTGTTGTTGTTTGTTTTAAAGCATGCCATCAGATTGGCATTTAAGTAGAATGGTGATCAGACTTTTTGCTTTTGATGATGTTGCTATGTTGAAAGTGTAATTTGTCTGGAAAAATATTTAATCTGAAGCAAGTGTTCTAGTAACAATTAGATAAATATCAGGAAACAGTTTTTCCTAAAAGTCACTAGTTACATTACCTGGTCATAATGTTACGGCTAATTACTGGATATATTTGTGATAATTATTTTTGAAGCTCAGTTTTGACAAATAAAAAAAAAAAGTTGCATTATCATGTTTTTGTTCAGGTGTTGTTGTGTTTACAAGCCAACATGTACATGAACACTTTCTAATTTGTAAAAATAAAACTCTTCAGAAACTGTTAAAATTATTTTAGATATTCTAAAAGAAAATAATTTTGTTAAAAATGAAAAACAGATGGTGGAGCATCTGTGGCAATCTGCCCACTGAAGTCTTGCATTCCTTCACAGCTTAAAGTTCACTAATTTGACCTTTAAAATCTCCTTTAATTCCAAATGTTTTCTTTGCTCGTCCTCCAAACCGGGTCCTTCAGCAGACCATGAAGGAGCTCACTTTTCATAGGTTGGGCAAAATAGCATGTTCAGGGAACATGATGGCTCTAGCTAACATTTCATTTTGCTCCTCCCCGCAGTTAGCTTAGTTGCACTTGGACAGCCGATGGGTAATAAAGGTGCGTTCACACAAAGGACTGCTTAAAACAGGGGTATCCAAACTTTCTCACAAGGGCCAAAACTGTCAAGATGAAAGTATGGGCTCACAAAATTGAACATAGGATAATAAAAAAAGCGTACATATTTGTGTCCCCCCACATTTAAAGAATATTCATTTGGACCCCCATCCCCCAAAACATTTGCCATGAGCTATTAGTTCATCCAGTGCTTTCTATTTCTTCATGAGCAAATCCATTCCACTTGATTAATAGGAGCATACTCATACTACTAAAAGTCCACTCCAGGTTTTCCTGGTTACCTACAACTCCACACCACATGTTGTGTTTCTCCTCTCGTCCGCCTTGACAGGACGCTCACGATGGGGAGAGTTGCGTGCTAGCTTAGTGTCATGTTAGTGCTGACAGTTGTTGAGGGAGGTGGGATGTTAGGATGTGTGAGAGAAGCAGAGCGCTACATCTGTAGCATCTTAGCTAATGCGTCTGTATTTTGAGCTGCTAGCTTAGTGCTATGTTAGTTCTGGCAGTTTTTGATGTGAGTGGGCGGGGCAAGGCTAGGATGCTTGAGAAGTGTTTACTTATGTAGGTAAACACAGGGAAGGGAGATTGAGATTGTCATCATTGTATGTTTCCATACAATGGCCAAATTATTTCTCTGCATTTAACCCATCACACCTGAGATACATCCAGGTGGAGCAGTGGGCAGCTATGTAAGTGCCCAGGGAGCAACTGGGGATTGGGTGTCTTGTTCAGAGACACCACATCATGGGGGAATGGCTGGGAGTCGAACAGCGACTTTCTGGTCCCCAGTTGGCTGCCCTGCCTCTACCTCATCCCGGCTCCCATTTAACAACCTGTTAAGATACTGTACACCAGAATGCAGGAAATGGTATCTACTTTTTGCTAAATTTTCTGGGCGAGAACTCCCCCCCCCCCCACCCACACACACACACACAAACAAAAAAATGTTTGTGATGCCAATGTAAAGTACTGAGAAATCGTAGAACTGAAGTCACTAAAACGGATTCATAAAAGGTTGGAAATGAAGCTGAGCAACTTGTATGTAGATTATACCACTTTATGTATAAATTCCATTACAATGTCCAATAACCATCGATCATCATCAGGGCTGTGGCCCCCACACTGTGGAATGCATTGCCTTTCACTTTGCGCTGCCTTGATTCTCTTAATACTTTTAAAAAGCAGCTGAAGACACATTTGTTTAGACTGGCTTTTAATTAGTTTTATATTGTCTTATGTCATACGCATGTTGTTTTTATCTTTTATCTTGTGTTTTTATGTCTTTTATTCTGTAAAGCACTTTGTGGTTTCTGACCTGTAAAAGGTGCTATATAAATAAAGTTTACTTACTTACTTTACTTATTAAATCAAACACAATTTGTTTTAAAAGAAAAACACTTGCTGTATTTAATCAAGTTTTATGAATGGTTATCTAAAAGTCTTCTTTTTGGAAGAAGTCAGCAGAGGCATGTGCTTTGTACAGTGAAATGGAAAAACAAACAATGCGATTGATTAGAGCCAAAAGTTTGTATTGTAATATTACTCATTTTAAGAAGATTTTTTTGTCACCTGTTTTGCTTATAAAATTATCACCATTAAAATTGTTTGTCTACATTTGCACTAACCTCCTGAGCCTGTGGGCCAAAATTATACCATTCTTAAATTGCAGTTGTGGACTGCACAGAATCACTATATGGGGTTGCAAATGGCCCTCAGGCCACACTTTAGACACCCCTGGCTCTAAAGGTGATATTAAAAGCAGCCCATGATGCTCCTTCCCCATGTTCTTCATTGTGTAAGAATGCACAGCCTAAGGAGACATGCAGGATTGATTTTCAAAGCCTTCTTTCTACTAGCTTCATTCCCTGTGCCTGAGGGGGATATCTCCTTCTGTCTTTTTCTCCTTACTTCAGTGTCACACTAGTATTAGACCTAGTATCTGAGGCTCAGACTTTACACCTGAGTACAGGGCCACAATTGTGTTAGGATCTAAAGACCGAGAACGTTCTTTCTGAGGGAAAAGTGAGATTTTGGTTTAGTTTACTGACAACTCCACTGCTGTTGGGCATCTTTGATATTTATGGAGTTTTCCAAAAATGTCACTACAGAAGCGCTGTAAATGTGTGTTGAGCCCCTATGGGTTTAATCATTTCATTGTATGGACAACTCTAAAAAACATTGTGTAAAGTTAAGGATTCCAACAAGTAAATGGTTAAAAATAACCTGCCTGACTAACAACTGCCACGTTTTGGACTTTTGCCGTTCACGTCTTGCAAACACGACTCTCATTGCAAGAAGTAGCACGGAATGACCAAATACCAGACACTGCAAGAAGTGCTGGAAAAACTCTCATAAAGCAATTATAAAATTGAAAGACATAATAAATTGTTTTTTTTTTCCCCACTCTTCTCATCTCCTTATAGGATCCCTGGGCACAGCTGGCAGAGTGTGCAATAAGTCCTCCAGAGGCACAGACAGCTGTGAGGTCATGTGCTGCGGACGAGGCTACGACACCATGCGCGTCAAACGTGTCACCAAGTGTGAGTGCAAGTTCAAGTGGTGCTGCGCTGTGGAGTGCCAAGACTGTGAGGAAGTGGTGGACGTGCACACGTGCAAGCATCACAAACGACCTGATTGGCTGGACATAACTTAGCAAACAAGGCCCAGCCAACTGACTTCAAAAGATTTTTTTTTTTTTAAAGATGTCCTTTTGCTGGGATCTTATGACTTTAACAGCTCTGATGTTCGAGGCTTTGACTCTTCCCAAAGCAGAGACTTCAGCAAACTGGAAATGAAGCCCAGTCACAGACTGTGTTCTGGTTAAAAACAGAATGGTTTATTAAAGAGAGATGCGTTAAGCATTTAAGAATCAGACTATCAGCCTATTTATCACACTTAATTAAAAAAACAAAAGTTAAATATTTTATTTGCTGTTAAAAATGTATCCTTGACTGAGATGCTCATGGTGCTTCCAATCCTCTGACACTGCTTGCTTTTCATGAGATAAGAGAAATGACCACTGAAAAAGAGAACGTATATTTTGACATTTAAAATGTAACGGTTGCTGCTAATTATACTACTATAAAAAAATAAGATAATGGCAATGTGAACCAAAAGAAAGGAGAACAGCAAAGAAAGCAAACTTTTTTTTTGCCGTATGGCAGCAGTCATAGCTGCAAAGTTAAATTAGGTAGAATGCTGATAGAAAAAAAAAATCAACTAAGAAAGGCAAGGTTCAAGTAAATTGTGGGCTGTTTTAAATATTTTTGTATGCTTTTGTGTGCAGCATATTTTCAGATTGTGTTGCGTCATGTTAACATTCTCCTTTTTTTATTTTTTATTTTTTTTACCTCTGGTTCTTTTTGCTTGCTTGCATTTTTATTGACTCTTAAGCCCCTCTTGAGGATCATGCAGATTGAATCCAGTACCAAAAAGTACAAGAAAAAAAAAAAAATACCTCCCCTGTTGACTGTTTTCAAAAGCCTTTAAAGCAAAATTATGTTTAAAAATAATAATGTATTATTATGGCACAAATGAAGTCACTATCATATCTGACATATCACAGATCAGCTAAATCCATAAAACTGTATCCTGTCAGAGAAATTGTTGTATTTTTTGGTTGAATCCAGTGAGGTTCTGTTATGTAAATGTGCTTTATATTACAATTGAAACGGCTGCTTTTCTCGTTGCTTTTTCATCATTACAAAATCCTTATGGAATGTTTATTCTCTCATCACTGTGCAACCTACCACATTTATAATGCAATCTTATATAACTGCGCTTTCAGTCCTGTTCACACACAAATCTAAAGTCTCTGAACGTGAAAAGTAAATTATTTGAAGAAAAGCCAAGACATTGCAAAAATAAGAACAGCAAAGTGGTTGGAAATCTTGAATGTGACTCTGGCAGTGAATAATGCAATCATGTCAAGTCTTTGAAGATATAAGTCTCTAAAGGATCTGTGGATTTAAATGAATATGACAACAAGGCACAACAGTTAGGGGGTCAAGAAATTGTTTCTGGTCCACGTAACGAGGGAGAAAGCCAAAGAAAACTGCTTTGAACACAACAAATGGACTCACTAAGTCAAAAGTCAATTACAAACTAAAACGTCTGTTTTGAGTTTCAATAAGGGTATGATGATGGTTTGTTTTCCTAAAGACGGGGGAAACGGTGATGGGTTCTGTTTGATAGAAAATGCCACAATGTTCTAAATATTGTAAATTACATTGGAGACCATTTGGACTTGTACTGATCTGTGCAACAGATTGGGGCTGTGGTTAGACTGAATTCAGATAAGTATTTAACTATTGGTTTAATAATAAAATAATATTTTTCAAACATGTTTTTTGTCATCTTAAACAAAAATATTTCATTTGACAACAACAATCTTGTTTAATTAAGACTTTTACAAATAGAGAAAATGCATTTCCTGCAAAAATACAGTGTGAATTTTGAAGAACTTGCTGAAAAACAGCTGGAATTAGTTGAAAAACATGTTGAAATTTAGCTGAAAAGGAGGAACAAGACTAATTAGCAGAAAAAAGCAGAAAGAACATATAATTGATGAACTAGGTTTAAATAAGCAGAAATTAGCACAACAATTATTATCTAAAAAAGCTGAAATTAGCCAAAAAATTGCAGAAAAAAAAAAAGCGAAAAGAAACTTAAACTACCAGAAAGGAGTTGAAAGAGCTGAAATGAGTTTAAAAAAACGGTGACTTTAGGTGAAAAGGTTAAAAATAGCATAAAACAACTAAATAGTAGCTGAAATAACCGAAACTAGCAGAAATAATTTGAAAGAAGCATAACAAGCTGAAATTAGCAGAAAGAAGTTATTAGGCTGCAAGTAGCAGAAGCTACCACAAAAACATATTTTATCAGAAAACAGCTGAAATTAGCTAAAAAATGTTAAAAGCGTAGCTGAAAAGTTAGAATAAACAAGTTACCAGAAGAAGGTGAGAACACATTTTACTTTAATTAGTCTGAAAAAAGTTTAGATGAGTGCAAAATATGTGGAATTAATTACCTGAAAAAGCTAAAACGAGCAGAAAAACAGCCAAATAGTAGTTGAAATAGCAAAAAAAAAAAAAAAAAGAAAAAAAAGAAGAAGCTGAAACTAGCAGAAAAAAAGCTGAAAGGAGCATAACAAGCTGAAATTAGCAGAAAGAAGTTAATTAGGCTGCAAGTAGCAGAAATTAACATGAAAAACTTTATTTAACAGAAAACAGCTGAAATTAGCTCAAAATGCTTAAAGGGTAGCTGAAAAGTTAGAATAAGCTTAAATTACCAGGAGAAAGTGGAGAAAGCACATTTTACCTCATTAGTTTGGAAAAAAGTTTGAGTGCAAAATATGTGAAATTACTTGAAAAGCTAAAAATGAGCAGAAAAACAGCTACATATTAGCTGAAATAGCAACAAAAAGCTGAAACTAGCAGAAAGAATCTGAAAGGAGCACACAACAGCTGGTATCAGGTCTCTCTTGTAAATGAGTCCTCGAGGCTCAATGGGATTTACCTGTCTAAACAAAGGTTGAATGAATGAAAACAGCTGAAATTAGCTGAAAATAGCTGAAAAAAGTTTAAATTTGCACAAGGAAGCTGAAAGAAGCTGAACCAGAACAAAATGTGAAAGGAGCAGTAAAAGGTTGTCAACAGATCTAAAAATATGAAGGATGTAAAATGAGCTCAATTCATTTTCTATGAGGAAAAAATGTCAGAAAAGGCTAAATATTTCAAAAAGTTAAAGTTGCACCAAAATCAAAATTCATAGCAGGATTGTCCTGAAAGAGCTAGACGTTTTGATTTACGATTTGTTGAAATAGCTTGAAAAATGCGGGACAAGAATCGAGTCGATAAATATATGGAAGAAAAATGGATCACAATAGTGCGAATGCTTCATAAACATTCACACAATAAACCTTTAGACATTGATAGGATGGTGGAACAGAATCTTAATGTCCATGGAGGTCTGTAGGAGCAGTTTCACCTATGAATGCATGCTCGTAAATAACTTACAGGCTCTATATTAAATCTTGTTGATCCGCCCTCTGTTACTCCTACTGGAGGTTCTCCATTCTCTTCAAGCTTACAGTATATGCCATCCTACACTTTCGTTGTGCAATAATAGTTTCATGGAAATTATAAATATAACTCAAACCAGGTTTGTGTTTTAAACTTCAGTCAGCTCAAAAACAAACAAACAAAAAAAAATTCCAGAAATAAAAACCCACAAAAAAGACATGCGGACAGCAGGCTTAACAAATCAAACTAATCCCAAAATGTCTGTGTAATTGAAATATGACAAGATTCATTAAAATGTCAATGCAATGAAACGAATTGTATATGCAGAAATATCGCAGCACTAATGCTTTTTATGTTCACATTTTGTATAGACAAGTATTTGTGGGACTTTGTCCTTCACCACCTTTGATCCAGTTTAAGTCTGGAAAAATAGCAGCATCAAAGGCATTCTCTACTGCCATACATATGAAAGGGCATCCTAATTTAACATTTCAAAGCTAAAACGGTCCCAGAGGATGGATATGGATGCATCATAATTTGAATCCCACTAGATATATTATAATCCATATTAGCTAACTAGAATGGGCCAACAACAATAAATTGTTGTTATTGTCATTCAGGACATGACAATCCTGTTTCATGTATCCAAAAGGCTCCCTGAGCTCTGATGGTTGGTTGGGATTATATTACCGGTAGGTTACAGTGCGTAGATCTTTCTCAGCTGAGCAAACACACAACTATAACCAGTTAAATGACAAATGCTTTGCTCTAACTTCAGTTAGTTTTTAGCTTCAGACAAGAAAATTAGATGTAAATGTTTGATAAAAATGCACTGCTCACTTTGAGTTTAACTTCATCGCAGACTCTCGTCTTGAGCAAGCACGAAGGCGACAGTGGAGAGGAAAATATTCCTCAAATAAACTGAATTGTTTACCTTAGTCCATGCTCAGTAATCCAGGTGTAAAATCCAACAATGTTCAGTCAGGTCATGGTCAGCTGGACTTTTTTTTTTTGTGCCGAGACGTTTCGCCCTCCATCCAGAAGGCTTCATCAGTCTGAGGATGGAGCACCAGAGGAGAGGGTGTGCCCCAGAGGCCATCTTAGCACCAACAAACGTTTTAACTCACTTTGGAGTAGGCTGTTGGGGGAGAATCAGTTTTGTTTGGCGTTTCCTCTGACCAAAAAAAAAAAAAAAAAAACATCCAGATGACCTGACTGAACATTGTTGGATTTTATAACTAAATTATTGAGCATGGACTTCGGTGTTTTGAACCAGCTTAACATGACTGTCGATGAGGGAGAGGGCGAGCACTGCACCAAAGGAGGGGGCGTGCTCCAGAGACCATCTTAGCACCAACATAACAGTTTTTTCCACTTTGGAGTAAGCTGTTGGGGGAAAATCAGTTTTGTTTGGCATTTCCTCAAACTGATGAAGCCTTCTGGATGAAGGCCGAAACTCAGCACCAAAAAAGAAACCACCTAGATGACCTGACCATTGTTGGATTGTTTACCCTTTAATGTTTTTTTTCTAGAACTTCTCATGGCCTCCTTCTCTAGCATAGAGGCTAGTGGGCAAGTAAAGTTTCAACCTGAAATGACAATCTGACACTGACTGCACTTGAGGTCCCAT